TTCTTGCGAAAATCTGCCGACAATGCTAGAGTGGCAGAGAAAACAAAGGTTTGTCTTTTCTTTCTCTGGAAGCTAGCCTCTGTTACACAAGTTTTGCTATCTTGAGATTGATCAACAGAAGAACTGCTGGACATGGGAAGCATATCAATAATTGACTGCACCTCGCGAAAGTGTCCATTTTCAATCATTCTATCGGCTTCATCCAGCACAAAGAATGACAAGGAATGCAACTGCAAGAAGAAGTTATGCACAAAAGTATGTCAACAGACAAAAAAATTAAAATGAGATAAATTTCTTTTGCATACAGAATTGTTAATATGGAAAGCAATCAGCACGAACTTCAACAAGATGCTCCTCTCCCCCTGACATAAGTTCCCATAATCGCCCAGGAGTTCCAACAATGATCTCAGGCCTTGCTCTTAGCAGTCTCTCCTGTTTCTCTGTTGACATTCCACCAACAATTGCAACCACTCTAACATTAATCCCTTTAGCTGCTTCCTTAAGATGATCAGAAACCTAGACAAAAGAATCCAAAAATGCAGGTCAGAATTAATTAAGTAAAACATTTACAAACTTAAGCAACCTGTCAATGTATTTAATATGGGGGCAAACGTCTTTGAACCTCGGGACCACATCAATCAAACATAAACAAGCAGAATACAGTATTTCAACTGCAACAATCCACATGTAAACTGTTAATCACTTCCTGCATAGAGATGGAGGGGAAAAGTAGTGGTGGATGCAGAAGAGGCAAGCTTTCCTTTCAACTAAATCAGTCTCAACTAGAAAAATCAAATGAAACTATCAAAATATAATGAAATATATTTTTAATAAAATCAAACATTTCATCTTTCCCAGCAAAACAAAACTCAAAGCATATCCTCGTTGGGCTGAGCAAGATCATGTATGGAAGTAACCAACGGTGAGATAGTATAAGTACCTGAACAGCGAGTTCCCTCGTCGGGGTGATGATTAGAGCACGCAGAACACCTGTTGGGGCATACTTGTTAGCATCATCACCCTTGTCATCAAGCAGTTTCTCAGCCTTATCCCGTTCTTCTAGTAGACGTTGCAAAATTGGCAAACCAAAGGCAAGAGTTTTCCCAGAACCGGTCTCTGCAGCACCAATAATATCCTATCATGGAAAATAAAACCATGACTATCACACCACCAATAAAATGCCAGTACCTCAATTAATTACAACAAACTAACCTTTCCTTGATGAGCAGCCGCAGGAATACAGGCTTTCTGAATCCGTGTTGGCTCCTTAAAACCAAGCCTATGGATTGATTTGATAAGCATTGGATGAAGCCTCAATTCATTCCATGCATAGAACTCTGTTTCATCAACCGAGTCTTCTTTGGCGTCACCATTGCTATTGCTATCTACAGCTTTGCCATTGCTAATAACAGCACCATCGTCACCATCGCTAACTATAGGCACAAGACAGGAGTGATTGGTCAGCATATTGATGTTCACTATCAAAAAATTTCAGAACCAACAAACCAGGTGGTGTATCATATGAGCAATAGAGTTCAATAGGCAATTAAAAGCAAGTGAATGATGTACATTGACATTTCATTACGAGGTGAGATGCATAAACATGGACAGCAATCAAGAAAATCAGAGAATCAGACTCTACAGTAGGAATCAACTCCCGTAATCCACAACAAGCAACAAGAGCAAGAAGAAGCACCAACCAGTTTCCCCCTCGTTTCTCTCTGGTTCATTTGCATCCGTTATCTTTTCATTCTTCTGCTTCCCTTTCTTCCTCTTCTGTCCCTTCTTCTTCTTCTTCTTCTCCATGGCAGGCTTATCCTCTACACTCCGACCAGCACCATCAGCAGCAGCATCACGCTTCTGCTTCTTGGATTTTGATTTCTTTTCAGGTTGAGGGATCGACAATCCATAGTCAAGCTCGTCGACCTCTTCCAGCGAAAGAAAACCTGAAATTCGCCAATGTTATCAAACACTACACCAACCTAAACTTAAAAAAAAAAAGCACAATAACACAAAAACGAAGCACATATTTTTTCTCCAAATACATGACCATTCCAATGGAAGACCTAACAACTAGCGCCCCCAACTACAATAACGTAAGTAAGAAGTCCGGCGACTGTGCATAAAGCCATTAGTCATGGCTCTCGTTGCAGTCGAAAAATTTCCCAGAACAATAGAGAGAGGAGAGCGAGAGGGAGAAAAGGATGACGAACCTCCTTCGAAGTCATTAACGCCGGCGAACACAGAGAACGGGTCACCTTCTTCGGCTTCGGGAAGCGACGATTTCCAGGGGAGTGAATCGAATCCTTCGAGCACCGGGTCCTGTTGAGCTCGCCTTCTCTTTCCCCTCTTGTTTGATGGTTTGGATGTCGACGGCGGTGAAGCGGCCGCCATGACCAGTGGTTTTTGGTGTAGACCGAGAAAGAAGTGCGCGTCGGGAAGGGTTTATGGTTCAAGGCAGTTTTAGAAAGAATTTCGAAACGTTTTTCTTTTTCGCTCTGGTTTTTAAACGTTTTGGGTGAGGACTAACTAACGAATCATTGGCCCAATGGACAGAATGTGAGCCTTGTTTAATGAGCCCACATAATGAGTTTGGGCCTATTACGCTCCAGAGTCCGCCCGGGGCTCCGGGCCTGTGCGGTAATTTTGTCAATATTATTCCCGCCGGCGGTTAAAGTAGTTAGTTAATCAACCGCCAATTTAGCCACACAAAAACCCAGCGTTATCTCTATAAATATCGGAGCCGGCAGGAATTTCCTCCAAAATTATGCGCTCTCTTCTCTTCAAATCAATCCTCTCTCTGCATCCCAAGCACTGCCCATCGTCAATTTCACACTTCGCCATGGCCACTGCCACCAGAGCTCGCATCAGAGGAGTAGTCTTTGACATGGACGGAACCCTAACGGTCCCCACCATCGATTTCCCGGCGATGCACAATGCCGTGCTCGGCGAGGACGAGTGCCGGAGAATCAAGGCCGAGAATCCCACCGGCATCGACATTCTCCACCACATCCAGAGCTGGAGCCCCGACCGGCAGCGGAAGGCTTACGAGATCATTGTTGATTACGAGCGCCAGGGTTCCGACCGCCTTCAAATTATGCCTGGTTAGTTTTGATGAATTTTAGTTGCGGTGAGGTGTCACATTTTTTCTTCAATTCTTGCTGGTTAAAGTGGAATTTGGAGGTCATTGTTTTTGGGCTTGTGTTTTTGTTTGATCAGGTGCTGCAGAGCTATGTGGGTTTCTGGATTCGAAGAAAATCAGGTTTGGGTTCTCGAGTTACGCGTAGCTTTTGCTGATAATGCTTAGCGGAGATGCGTAAGAAGTTAGTGTCATGGAAGCCTTAGTTGTAATTCTTCAGGATGGGGTTAATCACTCGAAACTTCAAGGAAGCTGTTGATATTTTCCATTCCCGATTTGGGGTAAGTGAGTTGCTTGTTGAAATGGGCTTTGAATGAATCTAGTTTGTTATTGGTTTCTTCTAAACTGATTGCCGGCATGGTGAGTCTGTATTGTAAGGCTGGAGTTCGCTGCTCTCCAGCAAGGAAACTTCCATAAACTTACCTTCATTAAAAAGCTTTGCTGCTTTCCTCAGGTTTGTAAGTTGTAAGGTGTGATTGATTGGTGTCCTGAATGGTACTTGTGTTAAGAAACGATTTCTGTTTGACCCTAACTTAACTGCAGTTAATGTTTTTTCCCCATTGGAGCTGCTTCTTTCTTGGCTGTAACAAAGTATTGCAAATGCTCAGGAACATTGTTTTTTCTTTTCACTTACTTATCAAGATTTCGCTCTTTGTAATTGGAAAATTCCATTACCAGCTTTTATTTCAAACAGAGGGTGGTCTCAATCTTGTCTGTGGTGGGTTGTTGATGCAGAGGAGCTTTTCTCCAGCATTGAGCCGGGAGTTCCGTCCTTGTAAACCGGACCCGGCTCCTCTACTCCATATATGTTCGGAATGGGGTGTCCAGCCTGACGAGGTCATCATGATTGGCGACAGCCTTCAAGATGATGTGGGTGATACCCTCTGTGTCCTCTCCTCCTCTTCTCTTTATTGTTCATCACTCCTTCCATGCTCATTCATGTATCTATTTCGGAGTTCATTTATTGAGTTAACAAGATACAAACATTATGCTTTGGTTCTTTCATACTTGGCAGAGTGTAGTTTTCCCTCTGCTATTTACTTGTCTTGATTTTCCTTGTTTCTTCTGTGCCTATCTTGATTTGCAGGTGGTTTGTGGGAAACGTGCTGGGGCATTCACATGTTTGCTCGATGAAGAAGGCATGTACAGCGCTGCTGACATTGCAGAGGTGAATCTCGAACCAGACTTCAAAGTGGCATCCCTAACTGAAGTTCAATCAATTTTGGAGTCAAAGTTCAATCTGCTGCCTTGATTATCTGCTCCTGGTTTTAAAGGGATAGATATCACTTTCTTGTGGAGTTCCTGTATTATGTCTGATGTTTGTCCATCCACAGCAAGGAAAGAGGAATGTCTTGTTTTGTGCGTTCTTTAAATCTGTAATTGTCAATAGATGCTTGTTTCCATTTTCCAGGCCAAGATGAAAAAAGAGTTCCTCTATTATATCTGATGGTTGTCGATCCACAGCAAGGAAAGAGGAATGTTCGTTTTCTGCGAAGATCTGTAGCTGTTAATAGATACCTGTTTCCATTTTCCAGAACACAAATTAAAAATAACTAGTTTCGCCCACCGTGGGGCTCGAACCCACGACCACAAGGTTAAGAGCCTTGCGCTCTACCAACTGAGCTAGACGGGCTGATTTGATAATAATTTGGTGTCCTTTTAAATCATATCAACCTTACATTCAAATTGAAGGTTGATTTTTGTAGTTTTTCCTGCAGCTCTCTCTTATAATCCTTACTTTGGGACTGGTTTTATGAGCTTGGACTGATGAAAATTCCCAAAATGCTTTTATGTGTTTGTTTGCAGGTATTACCTTGGGGGTGTGTTGGCATTGATTCCTGTAGCATGTAAAGCTCTTCCCATGCTCATGGCATGCATCCTTTTGAGTAATATTGGTGCTTCAATTACTGAAGTTGCTACAGATGCTCTTGTTGCTGAGTATGGCCAAAAACACAGAATAGGAGGCCTCCAGTCCTATGCATCTATGGCTTTGGCTATAGATACGAAATATACAAGGCCTCTGCAGGTCAGTAAAAAAGTGTTGATCGGCTTATAACCGACCAACAATGATTGGGCTTGTTTTGCCACGATATGAACAACCCTCTTATATCTACTAGACACGAAACAGAACGTAACACGCTCAAGGGCTGTACAGTTACTGGTTCGAGTTACAAACCGGTCGAAACTCCAAACTGAATTGGATCCATGAGCTAGATCATGGATAAACCCAAGTAGCTAAGTACAAATTAAACAGTTATTGGTGCAGTACTACTGCAGATTATTAATAATAAGTCAACAAAAATTAGGTGCAACTAAGTTCGCCGGGACTCTTCCCGCCGCCGCATGGAAGTACTCTTCCAGGCTCCACAGCCCCTCGTCGTCCCACAGACTTCCTTCCTCTGCCGCCGGTAACATATCGTTGCCAAAGAAAATCCTATGCTCCTCGCCGCTGTCAGTGTAAACAGAACCGTTGCTGCTGCTGCTGCTGCTACTACTATTGGCCGCGGCAGCAGCTTCTTGCCTGCCGCTGAACTGAGCCACGTGGTAATTGTCATCGTTGTTGGTGTCGTCGTCGAGCAAGGAAATCCTCTTTTTCATGTCCAGCTGGTTCAGCTGCTCCTTCTGCTGTTGGTGGAACTGCTGCCTCTTGAGGAGGCGGTTCCTGGCCTTCTGGGAGGCGTCGAGGAGGGGCACTTTGGTCTTTTTCTTGAAGTGGGTTCGCCAGTAGTTCTTGATCTCGTTGTCCGTTCTCCCTGGCAGGCTCCTCGCAATAGTGGACCACCTGCCCAAATCAGGATAAAATTGAATTAAACTAATCATCCACTAATTCCTCCTCCTGCTAGATTATAATCATCCAAAAAGTTGGCAGATAGGTACAAACTCATCAAGTGATCAATGAATTACTGATTATAATTCTAATGTGGTGATTAATTAATTAATTAATTAATCAATGATAAATTTGAATGTTTACCTGTTCCCCCACCTAGCATGCAACTCCACAATAATGGTCTCTTCCTGTGGGGTGATGTGGCCTCTCTTGAGGTCTGGCCTCAAGTAATTCACCCACCTCAATCTGCAACTCTTCCCATTCCTCTTCAGCCCTGCTAATTAGGAGATTATAATTAGCTGAGTGGTATAAGACCCATAACGAACATTTTTCTCGATAACTCGATTTATTGAGATCAAACTGGTTTACGACATAACAAAAACCTGTAAGCCTGGAGACAGAGTTCCATCGTCCTTCGCCGTGCAGTTTGACATACTCGATCAGCAACTTGTCCTCTTCGGCAGTCCATGGCCCCTTTCTCCAACCACCTGCAGCTGCTGCTACTTGTTCAACCACAGCAACAGCACCATTACTGCTGCAGCTTATTCCACACCCAAAATGTCCCTCCATCACTCCCCACGACATACTATGTTTCTATTTTGGATAATACTATTTGTTTGGCAAGCCCAGAGGTTTTGGTTTTTGTTTACCAAATCATTCTGTGACTCCGAAGGATAGTTGCTTTGAGTCCATATTTATACTGGAGAGTGCACCACTCTGTTAGCTTACTCTCTCCACCTTGTTGTAAACATGATCTAGAGTCACCATCATAAAATCCTCATCTACTTGTTTTCTTGGGGGGGAAATTACACCTTCACTCCCTAAACTATATATCGATTACAGATTCACCACTGTACCTATTACTTTAGCTTTCTATTATGGTCGAGATTTCAACCAACATTGACTGATATGCCCCGACATCATCTTTAGGGTTTTGAAGGATGTTTTTCTTCTTTCTTCCCCCTTTTAGCACGAATCCGACGGCCAAGATGCTCTGAGGTAGTGATGGCAATTTCAACCCGCCCCGCGGGTATTACCTGACCTGACCCGCGATGGGGCGGGTATTACCCGACCCGCAGTAGCGTGGGGCGGGGCATGGGTATCTACTTCCGACCCGCCGTGTCCCGCCCCCGCCCCGTTCTAGACTCATTTTATCTCAATTTCTTACAATATCTATACATATTTCTCCTATTTTGACTTTTCTTCAACTAGTTAGAGTCGATCTTTCAACTTGTTAGGCTCAATTATCCATTCTATTATCAATATTTTTCATTCTTAAAGTGTTTTTCCCTACATTTTATTGTAAAAAGTAAAATTTACTTGTACTTTTTTTGAACAATATGTAAGAGTGGGTCGACCCGCCCCGCCCCTTACCCGCGCGGGTTTTACCCGACCCGTAGTAGTGTGGGACGGGGCATGGGAATTGAGATACCCGCTCCGCACCGCCCCATTGCCATCACTACTCTGAGGATTGGTATCAAACTTTCTAGAAATGGGGGTGGTGAGAGAATAATACCATAAGACTAGTTTATTAATTATGTTAAGGAATGGAGTTACATGCCCTTTTGAGGACTATTATTCAAAAATAAAAATAAAGCTAAATTATAAAACAAATAGGGTTACAGTACAAGACTCACCAACTACAAAACTGCATGTCTTATCATCCTGATACGAATCATGTCACCTCCTGATATCATATCAGGAGGCGATATGATTTGTATCAGAGATAGTAAAACATGGGGTTTAATAGGTTTTGTGTTTTCGAATTTTCTATGTACCCTATATCTTCTCTTATAAAATCAATACATATATGACTTTTACGGAGCGAAAAGTAAGACAACCATGTGCCACCTATGTACTAGGCATAAGTCCATACAAAAGAATTTATTATAGCCACCCTCTCTAAGCATAATCCAGTGAAAGATTTGCATTAAGTCATAGAATATTGCTAGGAGTAGGGGGTTAATTTTTTCTTTAGGGGAGACCTTTGAAAGCTACTTGAACACCAATGGATTAAGACCAGGTGTTTAGTTTTGCTTACTTCTTAAGAAGATGGATCCGTGTTATAATGATCTATACAATTAAGAGTGATCCCCCATTAGTTTAATATAATTAAGAAATTGATTCATTGAACTTTGTTGGATTCCATATCAGGTATAATGGTTGATTATAATAATACTGATGATAGTATAGGGAAGGTCACGTAATTAGGGACAGGTGTAGAGTTCTGGCCGGCCTCCATATCCCTGCAAAAAAGGCCAATGCTTGTTTAATGGTTTTCTATGGGGGAGTGATTAAGTGGAGGGGTTGTATAATCTTAGATATTTTTTTTGTCAAAAGATCACTCGTAAACTTTCCGTGCACATGCATTTTTGTGATGGATTAGATTTTTTGCCAATATAAAGTCATATTGAATTTAATTTTCCTCGACGTTTGTAAAACTTTATTAAATCAACAATGAATCTCAAACTAATCAGGGATACCACGTTAATACTGCCTCGCGTCTCATCTTTTTCTACAAAGCTATGCAGGACAAACAACTATTACTCCATGATTTGGGCAAATAATTTGGCCCCTTAACCATATATTTAATCAGCAAGTGTCGCCAGCTCGCCATGGTTTCTCCGACAGCACCAACAAAACCCCAAAAGAAGAAACTGGGTCCGATGAAAGTGCAATAATTCTCGTGTCTTCTGCTTATGTCTTCTTTCTCTTTTTTGACAAGATGTTTTCTCGTATATTGTCGATATCGAAGGGAAAGCTGGAAAGGAATCCAGTCCTTTGAAGCAACAATTAATTAGAACACTAATTAATTGCCCCCCTGCAATTAAAAAAATAGCATTGGCCGGTCTCTCTCTGGGATGAATGAATGAGTTTGGCTCAATCAAGACTGCTTGATCGTTACAGCACAGCAAAGCTTTAGGCAGCTTCTAGCATTCGTGAATCATCAATTAATTGAATGTTTAGTTTATGATACAAAAAACAAAATATCTGCTTTATTTTGGTTTTGGTAGCTCTACTTATTCATATTTAACTATTAGTCCTTTCGAAGTTCGAACTATATGGAGTCACCTTCGCCTATGCGAGATAATGACAACTTAGCCCTTATGTATAGGGTATCCTTTTGGGAGTGCGATAACCGATTCGATTTTGGTTATAACAGCTCGCGGTAAGCAGCAATTACCGGTAATGTCATGGTTCCACGATCGAAAACTGTTGATAACTCTTTATCAATAAATTGATAAGTACCTTACTCTCTTAGGCTAACTCCAATGGAGCCTCTATAAATGTGGGAGCCTCTATATTTGGGGGAAAGTTGGCTCCAATGGAGCTTCTATAAATGGAGGAGTCTCTATATTTGGGGGAGATCTCCAAAAGGATCCCCCAAATTTAGGGGTGGAAATGGGGGTTCCCCCAAATATAGAGACTCCCCAAAGCCCGCCACGTGGCATTTCTTTTTCTTTTTAAGATTTTAAGGGTTAATTGGGGTTTAATTAGGAGATTAGTTAGGGGTTTAATTAGATCAATAATTTTCAAGTGTTGTGTGTAAACCCAAATTAGGTCAATCATTTTTTGTCAACAAAAATTTGGTCTCAAAATTAAAAAAATTTCTACCGGAAAATTTCTATTTAAAAATGATGACGAACGATACAAAAATCAACATGAACAAATTATATTAAGGCTTCGATAAGTACATTTTTAAGTAAATGGAAAACTTAAAAAATGGAGATCTCCAAATATAGAGGATGCAGCATTGGAGCAAAAGAAGGGAAAATGGGGATAAACCCCAAATTTGGAAATGAAGATCCCCAAATTTGAGGGCTTGCATTGGAGTTGGTCTCAGTGCATTGTTCATTCTTTCCACTATTTTTTTTCAAGAAGCTTATATCATCATGGGACTTTTGAATGGTATTTTTGTCCTTAAATGAAGAATAGTTCATTCTAAAGGGACGACGGTGCAATATAGTTAAACTGTTTATCGCGATACACCATTAAGTTTTTGCGGGTTTTAATATGCTTTAAACCAGTATAACCATAGACTAAAGTGTATTGTTTTATGTTAGTATTATTTTGACAATAAATTTTTATCACTAAACTAAAAAATATTTCTAAATACCATTTTAAGCTACGTATTCCACATAATCTTCATTGCGGTTTCATATAGTAGTGTACTAGAAAGCATCAACCGGAGTCGAATTAAGACGTGCTGAGTCAGAATTTCACCTAGC